AGACTGTACCTTCCATTGGAGCGGTAACTTCTAGTTACTGCTATTGTTTTTTGTTGAGTTTTGGGCGACAATTTAAAAAAAAAAGCAACTGTAGCAATTAAAGAGCGCCAATAATTATTACGTACATTTGTACTGTAAGGTATATACATACATACATATGTATGTATTTCACAAAAATATATCTAATCTGATTCTTTTTGTTTTTTTCTTACAGGCGAAGATAACGTGTCAAGCGTCAAAGTAGCGCTTGAAGCAACAAAAGAGAGCAAACACTCAAAATTGAAAGTTTGTAAAAGAAATTAATAACAAAACAACAACAMTTGTGCTGAAGAAGTGGTAAATAGGTTAAAATTGTGTGGTGTCGATGCGTTGAAATAAAATAGAATCCCAAAAAAGATACACAAATACCGAAGAAAAGTAATGCAACAACGCAAAACCCGCTGAAGAGCCACTATTACTAAAACAGCAATAACAAAAGTAAAAAAAAATTGAAAAGCTCGCTTGTATAGAATTTACCCTATCTCAATTATTTGTTTAAGTGTATGTGTGTAGAGATTCGAGATCGAACGAAAAAGAGAGGGAGAGAGAGATACTAACGATCGCGTGAGCATTTAAAAGTGTAGATCAGACGCTAAAGGTGAAAGCGGAAAGTGAAATTAGAAAAAGTCAATTGCGAATAAAAAGTAAAAAACAAGATAAATTAAAAGTATTAAAAACAAAAATAAAAACAMCGATTCAACTTTCGTTGTATTGTGAGCGGCAAATTGCGCAGTCCGTACACTAACGGACTCACACATAATGACAATTTGTTGACTACCAAAAGCGGCGACCCAAAGCACTTAGCCACCGCTAACTATTTCACCAGAAACAACAACCATAGCAGCTGATCAACATACCAACAATAACAATATACGGTGTGTGCCGTGTATAGTGAAAATAGAAACTGTAGAGAGTAGAGCGGATGAGTGGCTGAAAAAAAAGCCGGCTGCGGCGGTAATTTTCAAGTTTTTGAAGATCACAGTTTTAAAATAAACGGTGTAAGAGTCGAACGCGCGTTAAACGCAGTGACGAAAAGTTGTGAACAGTGTAAATGCGCTATACCAAAATTCGAAATACATTCGAACAACAAGTGYAGTGTATAAAAGGTATATAAACACKTAGTGTTTTGARAATTTACGAAAATTYACGATTTTAAAGTTTCGAAATTCAAGTTCGAATTTTCGAAGTTCAATTACGAATTTTCGAAATTTAAATCAACTTACCTGCAGCAAATCTCATTTGTTTGTGTGCAATTTATAGCAACATTTAGGAAACAAAACAACAACAATAACGGGTAAAGCACAAAAACTTTGCAGTTGGCTCGCGTCGGTATCGCTTATCTGTGAGTGACGCGGTGTCTGTAGGTTTGTGCGCGTTTAAGTGCATGAGTGCGTTTGGAAGACGTTTACGAAAAAACAAATCATGGTAAATAACAACAGCAAAGCAACGTTGGCGACAACAACTACAGCAACGACAAAATCAACAACAACCACAACAACAGCGAATACAAAGCAACAACGTCAAACGGTTGGTGCCGGTACAACAGCGTCGTTGAGTTCAGTCGGCAGTGCACAGCAGAAACAACAAAATCAGCAACCACAACAACAAAAACAGGAAAAGTTCGAACAACAGCAAAATATTGTCACAAAGAATAGCAACAAAAACAAAAATCAGAAAAATTGTGACAACAATGAAAAAGTGTGCAATGATAGAAATGAAGACAACTACAATAACAACAACAACAACTTCGACCCCAACATTAACGGTGATGTTGGTGTAAAGGAAGATAACAACAACAACAACAACAACAACACGTTAACAACAAAAACAATTAAGACTGCGTCAACAACAACAACAATCACAGCAAGCGCGTTAAGCGTTTCCGCTACAGCCGCTGACAGCAAGCAGCCGCCAGAGGTCGTCAGTTGCATCAGCGCCAATGCTAAGGAAAATGCGAACGACAATGAATTTGAGAGCGCTGCGAAAGAACGCCAGTTGCCAAGCAAAGCGGCAACAAATGGGAAGAACAATAACAACAACAGCAGCAACAGCAATCGTCACAATAACAACAAAAATGCAAAARCACGCAATGCCAAAAAAACCGACAAACAAGCTGTTAGCCAAAATAATCGCAACAGCAACAACAATAAGAGCACTAAAAGTCAAAATGGCAAAGTGTTTACGAATAGCAAAAACAACAACAAGACTAATTGGAAGCGTGTTGAGAAGCGTAACAGCATCATTTTCAGCACCAATCATCACTACAGCAACTACAATAGCAATGATAACAACAACACAATTAAAAACAACAAATATCCTACACAGCATTCTAATACGCCTAGCATTATGACCGATGACGATGAYGATTATCGCGACATAACCGATACCGAGTCGGTGCGTTCCAACGATTGGCCACGCAAATACTCACGTCCACAACAACAACACCAACAACAGATAAAACAAAAACAGCAACAACAGCAAAGTGCTAAAAAACCAAGTGCCAGTGACTTATTGACAGCCGCCCTAATGGTGCCCTGTGAAAAGTGCAACAAAGTGAAAGTACAAGTGCAACAACAACAAGGCAACAATTCGAATATGTCCTCATATTCGAATAGTTCGCGCCAATATCGTAAATCCAAATCGTATATGGGTGAATGTGTCGCCGAAGAGACAGGTGGTAGTGGGCGCAATTCTGTGGCATCTGTTGACAATTGGCGTAATCCCAGCGGTAATAGTGGTAAGGCTAGTCGCTAYCAACGTTCSTTGAGCGATCGKCGCTCTTCRTTTGATCGCATGTTTGCCGAACGCAATAAGGATTTCGTGCCAATTGTCCAGCCAACCCGTCCTATGCTTGCTTCGTCGAATATCGAATGTGTTCTTACAGATACCGAGAAAATAGTGCTCATCGAACGACTGGGGAAAGGCCGTCAGACATATCCATTAATGCAGGTGAGTGGTGACATACATTTACAGTTCTATTATATAGTAYATTCATATGAGTTTACAAGTTCTGATAGACGAAATAGTTCTTAGATCCCAATCTCTGTACCCACCCATATAATAATATTCTTCTTTACTGACGTAGACACCGCTTACACGGTTATGGCGGAGTTAACAGCACCGTACCAGTCATTTCTACTTTACGTTACTTGGCTCCAATTCGAGGTACCAAGTGCAACCAGGTCCATCTCTACCTTTTAAATCGCAAAACTTTGTCAATGTCGCCGTATATCTCGTACAGTTCATCATCGTTCCATCGACTACTGTACGCGCCATTGCCAAAAAGCAACGCACCATAAATTTTTCGCAGGACATTTCTCTCGAAACCCAGATCTGGTCTTTAGCGATACCAGATGTAGTACCTTTTCGTAGTTTATACGAAGTAATCATTCTTCGGGATGCCTGCGCTTGGTGTCAATTTCAATACCACTTGAAGTATCTCATACCGTGCGATCACAAAAAGCTTGAAGCGTTGCATTGCTAAGGCGGAGTCTTGCTCTTGACATTTTCTGCTGTCAGTTTCATTTCGATCTGTCAGTTACATTCTGCAGGCGTGCGCCATCACCCGATTGTGACCTGTGGGTATACCTATCATGTTCCTACAGTCTCTTCTAAGAAGTACGGACAACAACTTTGTGTTTTTCTGATCTACCGCTCTGCACGCCACTTTTGCAGTTTTTCATTCTAGTAGATCATCCACCGCGTTTTGTCCTTTATTTCCATGTTGCACCTGGATCGATGTAATTACAAATTTCGGATAACAGCCGTACTTTAACCGCACTTGCTTTTGGTGACAGTGTCCAGGCTTTTAATTTCCATTCGAGTGTTTAATGCTTGATCTCCCAAACTCCGGGCAGTCAAGAAGAAATTGTTGAGTTGTTTCCACCTCATCTTTTGCCATTCAGCTTCTGAAGTTTGAGTCTGTTAAAASCCCTACAACTAGGGAGAGGCTAACTTTACTGATGACAAAGATATCATTAGTTCTCTGCGATTGATYGGGGCATGTACCGATGGTGGCCCAGAGCTGGCCAAGCTCCCGCGAAGCCCAGCTATCTAGTAGTAGAACACAAGAGGATACAGGAGCACCGCCCCGCTTCCATTCTACAGGTGGCGGTTCAAGGGTACCCTTTCTAGCTAACTCATCAGCTTTACAGTTTCCTGTCATACCRCTGTGGCCTGGCACCATACCAGTCTTACACCAAAGACACTTGATGCTCTTGTTAGCGATGTTAGGCACTTCTTGATCAACCTTGAGCGCACTGTTAATGAGTTCCAGGTCGCCGCTCTGATATCCGAGTGGATGGTCACTTCTYTGAAGRAGRAGGCACTCCATAGCCGTAAATATACYGTTATCTTAATGTAGCATTAAAATTGGTATAACTATTTATTCACTATCGAGTGCTTCGTGGCTAGAACTTTCACCTCCCTATAGCTTTGGCAGTCTTTGGCGAGCATTTATACGGCCTCATCTAGCATTGTACTTCCTTATCATCATGAACTTAATTTTTTGCTGCTGCTAAAGTTCATGACCTCTCAAGCTCTTACAAGTATGCAAATATTATGCTCTATTACATACATATTTATGTATAGTATATGCATGGTTATGCTTATAAATATGTATGGACATTTACGCAAATTTGAAGCGCAATTTCTATAGTGCGATATTTCGCAACAGGTTTCAAGGCGGTTCAACAACATCGCCCACAAATACATACATATGTACACACTTGTATACAAGTTTTGGTGGATGTGATTATGTTTGCRTGTATGTATGTATGTTTGTCTGAAAGGGAGTCATGACGTGAGGCTTAGTTTGCGTACGTCAAACGTTTCCATGATAATTAATAGCGCAAATTGTATGCAAACTCGTATAACAGTGATGTTTTTGCTATTTAAAAAAAAAAAWTTTTTTTAAATTTGGTTTAATTTTTTGCGTGCAAATCCCATTTTTACCAGTCGTCTACGACTAAAAATATGTGTATGARTATAATTTGCTGTTAAGCATTGCTATTGCTATTGGAATGCTTGACCACGAAAAGTTTATTTAAAAATAATAAAAAAATCTAAAAAAGTAAAAAACAAATTCAAACAACTTTCATTTTCTATTAATTGCGATTTGGTGTTCGGCTTTGTAATTTATGAATGGGTGTGCGATAAGAAAAGCACTAGCTGTGGTGGAAAATGTGAAATTAAAAAGTTATATTTAAAAAATTAGAATTGAAATGTAAAAATAAT